GCTCGATTTTTTCAAAGAAAAAAAGGAGCTATTGTTGGAGTAGCCTATGCCGTTGCTATCCGCAAACTTTAACATTTGTCACAATTTATTTATTTCGTAATGGATTGCCTTCATACTTGAACCACAACAACTCTTTAGACAAAACTTTTAAGTTGAACCCTTCTCTTATGAATGACCTTGACCTTCAAGGTTAAATGTTTGAATTTTGCTATATTTTGCTATAACTGTTATACATGAATGGGTTGTCTTCATACATGGACACAACACTCCTTTGGACAAGACCTTCAAGTAGACTAAATTGATTATGACCTTCACTCATCAGTGACCTTGACCTTAAAGTGTATTTTTGCTTAACTTTTGATATAATTGGCTCTAACTTGGTTATTTATGAATGGATTGTCCTCATACTTTAGCACAACTTCCTTTAAAGGACAATTTGTTAAAGAAGATTAAACTCAATTCGAACTTGACTCATAAATCAGACCTTGACCTTTGAATTATATTTTGTTCTAGAAAATTATTTTTGCTTAGGAGTATTCTTTAGTACAATAATCTTCCTCTAATGTGTTTGACTGTTGAAGGAAGAAAAAGTCGAGGGTTGCTCCCGCTTTGCAGTGGCTCTTGCCTTTTATTTGTCATAGCAAGACAAACAATAGTAATGTGTAGAGGAAGATATGATAATAATGGTTCCTGTACTTGAAAATAAAAGATGATTAATAAAGGTTATAATTTTTACTGTTATATGATACAGTAGCTAAAGGTTATACTCCGGGCCTGTATTTGCTAAATCAGGTATAATTGAGTAATATAATTAACCTAATTGAGTTTGTGAATATTTTAAAACCTGTGTTACTGTTTTGACCTCATTGACTTTGATGCAGAGATGTGTTGTGTTGATCAATGGGAGAATAAATACATTCAATAATGAAGAGATAAAACAATTGGACAGGTAGACTATAATAATATATTGAAAGCGCTCAATTATACATGGTGTTTTATTTATCAGAAATACCACCCATACAGACTCAAAAAAAAAAAAAAAAAAAAAAAAAAAAAATATATATATATAGCATTATATGACAAAATGTTGCAGATTATATTAACTGTTAAAATGGCCATTTGCAGTAATTTAAGGACCAAATTGGAGATAGCAGCCCCATTGCCCTCCCTTTAAAGTATATATTTTCCCTACATTTCTGAAAAAAATCCCCTCCATCCATTGATTGATGTTAAAATGCTTGGCAAAAATGTTTTGAAAATGATGAGGATATCACAGTCTAGTAGATCTCCATTAGCCACATTTGTATGTCCAAAGTCATCCGATTATTGTGAATAACAGGTAGTGTCTTAAACATAATTCATGTTTGGCACATTGAGCTGATGTGTCACTCGCATAAACAATTAAGGTTTTTAGCTCAAACGTCAAGGACACATTTTAACTTGATAAAAGTGGATTGATGTTCTTGTCCAGTCAACATTGATGGAATTATAGTAACTTTGTGCATATCTTTAGCTGTGTCACAGTTTATAGCAGAGACATAGGTCACACTTATACTTCCAGCATAATATTTCTAATAAAAGTGCTAATAATTAGGATGACATTTATTCAAGAGGCATTTCACCAGCTCTTGTAAAAATTCCTGTAACTTTACCTATTTAACATTTAATTATGTAATTGGTGTACATTTGTATCACATTTCGTATAATGTATATTATTTCTATAATTATTTTTATCACATTTTAATGTTACATGTGCCGTTATAGGTCATTGGGACATGTCTAAAAGTAGGTTGAAATGACATGTTTATTTCTAAAAATAAGATTATTATTTCATTTATTATGTCGGAGACAAAATCGTTACTCATCTTTAAAAGCTCATTATATAATCCTATGGAAAAAAAATGTCTACCTGTACGATAATTTGAATTGACATATCGGAACTGACGTCCATAAAAGATGACTGATACAATTTTAATGAATATGTAACACGCTTCTGTTTTTTTTAAATAGTACAACTGCATAGACATGTCGACGTTAAGAAGACAGATAGCTAAAAACTTAATTAATGTCGTGCTATATATAGAACATTTCTTGATCGACTTGCACGCTTTTCAGTTTATGTAGGTCAGCGATGATGTATTATTTTAACGTTGCAGTCGTTTACCAAAATGTTAATCATAGTGAAGCATCTCAGATGTACTGTCTGCAACATAAATGCCTTAATTAATTATTGCTAGAAATTAAGTTTTATACTGTAAAATACATGTCATTTTTACATTAATATAAAGAGGTATGATTTATTATTTTTGACACTTGAGCGTTGCATGTGTATTTAGGCTATAGTTACAGGGTTAGTTAAGTTTACCAGCCGTTTTAAATTTATTTTTAGCTTTTTTGGGTTCAAGAAAATTGAGGTATAAGTGTTATAAGAATCAGGTTTCCTCATTGTCAACAGTCTTGACTTCTGCTTTTAAAGTGCTAGTCAGATTTTCTTCAAATTCACTATGTAGTGTGACTGTATTCTTACTGTTTGCTCAAATTATGGCCCATTAATCGCTTAAAATAGAAAGATCTAATTAACAACCATTCTCATGAGTCAATGGAATGTATGATTATCATACCATAACCAGGGTAATGTCTTAATTGATCAATCTTTCAATCTGGACTAAACGATTCTGAATGGTTTTGTTTCCATTTTTAGCTCGACTTTTTTTTTTTTGAAAAAAAAAGTAGAGGTATTGTTATAGTCAGGTCGGCGTTGCCGTCTCCGTTGCCGTTGCCGTTGCCGTCCGAAAACTTGTACCTGGATCATAACTTTTTTATTTCTTGGTGTATTGTCTTCATACTTGGCCACAACAACCCTTGGGACAAGACCTTTCAGTAGACCACACTAACCTTGACCTTCATCCATAAATGACCTTGACCTTCAAGGTTAAAAGTCCAATTTTTGCTTGTTCATGCTGTTATTGGCTGTTACTTTGTTATTTTTGAATGGATTGTCTTCAAACTTGAACATAATAATCTTCAAGGATATCCCTTAAAAATAACCAGTCAGACCTTGACATTCACTCATCAATGACCTTGACTTTGAAGGTCAAATTATTTGAAATTTTCATTTTTTTGGCTATTATTGGCTGTAACTTTGTTATTTTTGAATGGATTGTCTTCAAACTTGAACATAATAATCTTCAAAGATAACTGTTAAAAATATACCGAAAGACCTTGACCTTCACTCATTAATGACATTGCCTTTGAAGGTCAAATTATTGAAATTTTCATTGTTTGGCAGTAACTGACTGTAACTTTGCTATTTTTTGAAGGGGATAAACTTCATATTATAACAGAACGTTCTTAAGGACCAGACCTTGTTGTTTATCAAACCCAAATTTGCTTGGGCTCTCTTTAATGACCTTGACCTTGAAGGTTATATTACTGAATTTTCTCAGATTGTGCATTTATTGGTGTGTGTGTATGTATAGTATATGTATTATATATATATATATATATATAAATGTGTGTGTGTATATATATACATATATGCAGGTATATATATATATATAAATATATATATATATGCATGTATATATATATATATATACATAATATAGATATATATATATATATATATATATCAAATATATATATATATATATATATATATATCAAATATATATAAAAATATATACATATATATACATGTATATAATTGCGTCATTTTTTCTATTTTTAGAAATTGCGTCATTTTTTCTATTTTTAGAAATTGCGTCATTGTTGCTATTTTTAGAATTTGCGTCATTTTTTTCTATTTTTAGAAATTTCGTCATTTTTGTTCTTATTTTTAGAAATTGCGTCATTGTTTCTATTTTTAGAAATTGCGTCATGTTTTTCTATTTTTTAGAAATTGCGTCATGTTTTTCTATTTTTAGAAATTGCGTCATTTTTTTCTATTTTTAGAAAATTGCGTCATGTTTTTCTATTTTTAGAAATTGCGTCATTTTTTTCTATTTTTAGAAATTGCGTCATTTTTAGAAATTGCTTCATTTTTTTCTATTTTTAGAAATTGCGTCATGTTTTTCTATTTTTAGAAATTGCGTCATTTTTTCTATTTTTAGAAATTGCGTCATTGTTGCTATTTTTAGAATTTGCGTCATTTTTTTCTATTTTTAGAAATTGGGTCATTTTTGTTCTATTTTTAGAAATTGCGTCATTGTTGCTATTTTTAGAAATTGCGTCATTTTTTTCTATTTTTAGAAATTGCGTCATTTTTGTTCTATTTTTAGAAATTGCGTCATTGTTTCTATTTTTAGAAATTGCGTCATTTTTTCTATTTTTAGAAATTGCGTCATGTTTTTCTATTTTTAGAAATTGCGTCATTTTTTCTATTTTTAGAAATTGCGTCATTGTTGCTATTTTTAGAAATTGCGTACTGTTGCTATTTTTAGAAATATGCTTAATGTTTCTATTCATATATATACAAAATATATAAACAAAACTAATGTGACAAGACAGACCAACTAAATTTATAAAAAGGAAACATCAATATATGTTCAAACCTTTCTATGTTTGCGTTTAGAAAAAGTAAAAAGTCGAGCGTTGCCCCCGCCCGGCGGTGGCTCTTGTTATCAATAAGTACTGACTGAATAGGGAATAGTGTAGGCCATGATCATATAAGGCAAGATGTGCTGGCTGATCTTGATCAGCACTGGTTGCATGTGTATATTTAATAGCCTTCTTTTGGCTATTATTATGTAACCTACGTCACTCAAAATATGAACTTGTCTATCTATCAAGCTGAACAAAACCAAATAATTATATCTTGATCAGAATTACAAACCATATTATTTTTGCTCCGGGTAGAAGGTTCTGTTGCCTGCCAGAAGGCTAAGGACAACCAAAGGGACTTTGTCCTACTTTAAACAATTACAATATAACTTTTGGTTTTAATGTTACAATACGTTTAGAAAATGTCTTAATGGATTGCTTTCCTTTCTAATTTTCAGGTAATGACTATATATGGGGACAGGCAAAGTTTGGGAAAAAATGTTGAAGGTTAGGTGAAACAAGTTATTTTTAGATAAAGGTAATCTTGTAATGCAGTGATCTATGTATTATTAT